TTTTTTTTTTTTGTCCCAAGAATAAAAAAAAAGAAACAAAGTAAACAAAACGAAAGAAGAAAAACAAATCAAATGATAATAGGCGTTCAGCAGCTACAATATTACAGCAGTAGACAGGCTACAATGATGACAATTATTCAGTCAACTTTCCCTGTCATTTGCCCTCACTTTCTACCTCCCCAAACATGCCCTTTTACATCTTTGTTTTCCTAAAACCAGTGAGAACTTCCAGTTGCTTTTGACCCAAAAGTTTCAAGCCCTCACTGAAACGCATCTTTCCCTGGTCAAAAAATATTGACAAAAAAAACTTTTTCTTTCAGCAAACTCAGTCATCACAAAAAAAATATGTAATAAAATGAATTTCGTCCAACAGCTGCTTAAGTCCTTCAAAAAAAAAGAAAACCTATAAACTTCAAACATTTGCTACTGTAGTTTCATTTGAAAAAAAAAAAAAAATTAATTTCATAATGGCCAACAGAAGCAATAACCAATAAATTTTGATTTGAATTACTTTAAAACTTCCAGAATTACACTCGGGATCATTTAAAACAAAAGAAAAAAAAAATCTTCCTCTTTTATTTTTTTTTTTTGATTCTTGTACAATTGCGTAAGCGAAAACTACAAAATAAACAAATAAACAAACGATTTTCAGCCGGTCTATCAACAATTAGTTATTTGTCCGATGACCACCGTCACATCAAATCTTATCTGTCGACAAACGGTTAGTCTGATCTTTTATTTTATAACTGATTTTTCTCAGTTATATCCCTCACAGTTTTCTACGTCCTAATTGATTTTCTCTTAAACAAAAAATGTAGTGAAAAAAAACCAAACAAATAAATGAACAAAAAAAGTTCTTGCTTATAAAATAAGACCGCAATTTTCACTATAATGTTTGAAAGGCACAAAATTCCATGGTATAGCTCTATAAAAATAACTGTTGTTCCTTTATCAATGTACAAAACCGTTTTTTTCTATCCTTAATAGTGACCTCAAATGGAACTTTCTTTGCTGTTATTTACAATTCACCTTATGCTTAGTATTAAAAGAGTAAAAAATTTTATTCTCAAATTTATAGAATTCCACAAGTTCTGTTTAAAACAGTGAAAAATAAGGGACATAAAAATATTCAATTAATTTTTTTTACCTTTTCGCATTTTCAGAACCCTCAAAAAAACGAAGTGGCAACAAAAGCGCGACAAACAGCAAGACCTAAGAAAAAAAAACGAACAAACAAGAATTAACCTTTAGAAATCCAATATTAGATCATCGTTGAAGGTGGCGCTTTGCGGCCACGACGACGACGATTAGGTGAATATAGAGTTGACGGTCACCATCGTCATCTCATCATCGGCAGCAGTCATTAGCTGAGTGATAACGTTACCATTGCAAAATCATTTAGAATCCCCACTTATTAACTATAACAAACCAACTGCTATTAGAAGTTACTCCACTGACAATTAAAAAAAAACCAATCTTTATATATATATATATATATATATATAT